TGATGTGCGGTATAGTAACGTGAAATGGTAGCATCCTATTAAAGGGCAAGATTCGGATAAAATAGGTGTGGAAAAGCGTTCAGTTATGAAGCTATAGGTGGGAGGTGGTCTGTAAAAGAGAAGGAAAGCAAACGAAACCACCGATTACGCCCCGTACAGAGACCTCCCCTATTTCAGCCACATTCCACCTTGGGATAGAGAAGAGGCGAATTGGACGAGTTTCACGAACCTAACTCTACTTGCTCCAGTGTCAATAACATTGGATCGCGCTGGGACCACTGCCTCAAATGCGCCCGCGCTTTTCAAGCAGCGCCACGTGGCAACCGACAGCGAAGGGTGGGGCTTGCGGACGAAGGTGTGAGTTGCGGGTTGGACGAGCTCCTTGCGCCTTTGTCGCGTACTTTCAAGCCGCAAAAGGGGCCCGACATCAACACTTGTCCACCTGCCTACTACCCCCTGGATGGAACAGGCGAGCCCGCCTGATCGCGGAGCGTGCCTTTAAAAAGTTGAAAAATCACTAACAAGTACCGCGCTGGCGCGCGAGCGGGCCTCCTGTCGGGTACCATTCTGAGTAATATTCCTGGTTGGTATAGGGCCAATATTTTTTGACTTCGATCCTCGCAGTGGTGTTTAAGTTAGTGAAAGACGTTTGAAGTTTCAGATAGTTTCCTCGCTATGTCAACCGCCAGGTGCATGGATTCCATCACTAATCAGCAGGCTGGTAGAGACTGCGGGCGAAACTCATGAAGATACCCAAGCCTATGTGACTGATCTGCTTCTGTGTCTTCTCAGCAGTGCACCACATTTGAACCCGGTGCGTATATATGTTTATCGGCTCTACAATGTGTCAAAGTAATCATGTTGATTTGCGGGCACCATGAAAGGAAGGGTGAGAAATTGCATCGTCAGCTTAGTGTTAGCGTTTTTCATAACACATGTAGCTGTGTTCTGTTTCAGATGTGTGTCTTTCGCTTCTCATTTCTGAGGAGGAATGCCGGTTGGGAGCTGCCCTGATGAGAAGCAAGAGTGCAGATCAGTTGAAAAGTGATGCAGAAGGAGATGAGGTGACCCATCAGTACTATTCAAGAGATATTGGACAAGGAGTTAATCAGTTTCATTTCAGGAGGCTACCGCTCGGATGCAAATCTGCGCCATTGCTGTCGCGCTGCTGGAAAGCGGGGTAGACAATGAGTTCCTGCTCTCAATTAACCTTTTGGAAAAGGTAAGATCGAGATGATTTAGGGGTGAACGAGTATGGACGGTCCCTAGTTAACGATCATCAAACGAGGCCATACGTATGCATGCGGTGGCGGCGGTCGGGTAGCCGATCGGCTTGTCATTGCACCGGGTGCATGGTTATGATTTACGAGCGCGCGCGCTGCCGCATATCCGCTTTTGAAGGGACATAAGCGAGCAGTGGTGACTGCGAGTAAATTGGGGATCGTTGCGTGGTCGCCATCCGTGTCGGAGGTGCAAGTCATTGTGCCCACATCTCAGTCTGTCATCAGGAAGGTCGCTCGACGAACGCGATTAATTGTCAAAACACCAGCCACTTTATCTGCACTTTTGGGGTTTGGCGGAAAAATGAAGACGTGGGAATAGTATGCTATACAGCGCATTTTTGCAAAACAGTCCTAAGCGTGGCCCTTCGATTATGGTAGATTGCCAATCTTTATGCAAGCTGAATCACTAGTCCTATGATGAAACCATGCCAATATCTCTGAACACGTACGTTTGTAGATTCTTTTAGGATG